TACACACATATACCTCCTGTTCGTGTAGCCATTTATTGCATATGGTGTAGCCAAATCGCAGCAATGTTCGTAGTCAGCACGGCATTATTATTTGTACACACATATGTATGCATCTATCCATTTTACTGAATTCATGAGCGTTTATGTATGTATATATGTATATACCAAGGTATGCTAGCAATATCACACTTGATATGAAACCGCACTGTGTGCAAATATTTTGGCACCTTTGGCCTTATTGGCCACTCCAGCAGCAAGAGCTTTAGCCTAGCGCTTACCAAAAAGTGAGGTTATATCAAAATTGACGGCATACCATTCGAGTGTTTAGTTTAATGTACTTTTGTACATATATTTATGCAATTGTATATACTTTTATATTAGGGTGCATCACCTCCACAAAAAAAAAATCAAATCGGTACTGTTATTCCATCGGAAATATAAAACTAATTATATTTTAAGACTTCCGTCAAAAAATTTGAGAACAATATTTAAATTTACGTGAGCTGGACCGATTTGGAAATACCTCATAATGAAATTAGTTTTTAAAAATATTTTTTTCCAAACAATCACTTCAACTTAAAAGGCCTGCATAAAATTTAATTAACGGAATCAAAATAATGATATTTTAAATAGGTCCAGCTCACGTAAATATTAATTTTTTCGTTTATGTATGATGATGGGTTTGGGCGACCTTTTCAATTCTTTATTTGTTCTAAATATTTTGACAGAGGGCTTAAAACATAATAAATTTTATAAGTCCGGCAGAAAATCCATACCTTTTTTTGTTGAAGCACCCTATTATACATACATACATACATATATATATATATGTATATGGATATGTTCGCTTCGTTGGCTATACCAACACTGGCATACAATACTTTTCTCTTGGCGGCAATGATGGGTTCTCTTCTGTTGATTTTATGCAAATTGATGAGCCATTTTGAGTCGAGAAAAACTAGTATGGCGTGCACTTAAAAATTTTAGTTGTTGTTATTGTTAGGAGGACAGTATTATCGTATGTAGCGCATTAACGTGAATAAATTTGCATAGGCATACTATACATATGTATATGTGCCTACATTAGGGCGGGTCGATTTGTATGGGAGAAGAAGGATTCTACGTGTAATTCCAAAATTCCAAATTCCAAATTTAGCGAAGAAACCGTGGGTCTAAAATTAATTTGGAGTTTGGTCGAATTGCGAAAATAGGTTTATTAGCATTTGCTGTAGTGTCGTAAAAAAGTGCTTAAATTTTGTATAAAAACATGTTATAAGGGATTTTTGGTATGATGAATCCATTTGTGTGCTTATCTTTTTCTTAAAACTTCCACCAGAAGGCGCAACAGTGAACATTTTCACATTTTCTTCGAGACCTATTCTCGCTATTTGGCAAACTTCAAATTCATTTTAGACCCATAGTTTCTTCAGCAAATTTTTTTATAATTTCACATAGAATCCTCTTTTGATATGCGCCCACAGTCAAATAAAAATTAACCCGCCTTAATGTACATGCATATGTAAGTACGAACTTATCTAAAGTACCTATGCAATTTAATAGTTAACTGTCACTGAATTCTGAATAAATTGATGAGATTTGCAACAACAAAAGTTCTGAAAGTCTATTGTTTTAACCGGAAAACATGCCTACCCCATAAAAATGATGGAATTGCTGTAAATAGTAAGATTTTGTTGATGTAACTGTACTTTTTAAATCTTTCGGACATTGTCAAAATATTTATTAAGTCAAAAATCAACCTCA